ATTTTAGTTTTTGGATGGGATATCAAATCATGCTTTTTTTTTTCTTACTTGATGCTGTGTAGCGTATACATGAGGCGAGGCAGGGGGAACTTGCGATATGTACTTAACAGTACTAAGGCAGAAGAAGATGGTGAGTTTTTTTCTTCGGTTGATGATGATGATCGAGGACAAGGCTGATTTAGGGTCATATACTCTATCAAAGGGGTGGAAAACCTAGGTCTTCCATTTGGACATGAAGGGAGGCGATGGGTTGCTAATAATAGATTTGATAGTGACAATGGATTTGCAAAAGTTAAAATGATTTAATGACAGGATGTCTTTGATTCTCGACTTGACACAAAAAAAAGCGTTCAAACGAAGAAAGGAGAAGAAGTTTGACAGACACAAATCGCAAGCTCAGGCAAAGTTCCAAAAAGTGGCGACAATGTAATCATGCAGAAGAATAATTTGCTGGCAGAATCTGATTGGCGGATCAAAAGGCTTGCTCTAGCGTTCTGTGGGTTCACCTGTATGTCCGAGGAAAATCAAGCAAATGAGGGCTTTTTCTTACATGTATGGTGTGTATGTATGGTGGGGGGTGGGAAAGGAGGGGCGCATCATGATAGATGGCGAGCCTGCCAAGGCTTTTGGCTCATCGGTGAGAGAGGGGGGGTCTCGAACTGGCAAGCATCTAGTTAAACCTGCACGGTTAGCGAATGCACCATTTTGGGCTCCAGGCAGAATCGCGATCATCGAGAAAGAAGGTGTGTATGTGTGTGTGTGGAGAAGATGACCGGGGCGAAGGAAGAAATCACAGGCAAGATGTAAAATCGACGATGGGATAGAAGCACATGACGAGAGAAGATTGAAAGGGAGGATATATGCGCTAGCTGATACGACGCTGCCTCGTTTCTTCTCTCTTGTTGGGCTTGATGCCCAGACGGGTACTTGAATTTGACAGATATGTAACACGTACACCAGGTGATGCAGGTGGGCATCAAGTTAGGCCTGTGCCTCTATCTTGAGTGTGACCAGGATGGCCTGATACTGTCACTCCCGCTGTCAGTAACGTAGGTGTCAAAATGCTGTCCTCCATCGCTTCTGCGAACACCCATTAGTGATAAGGCGCTAAACCATGCCCCTGGAAATACTCCTGCATCATTCTTGCTTGATTGAGCTAGGAAAGGCTTGTTGTGAAAGCACCTGGTTAATGTGGTACTCTGGCCCTGCGCAGTAGCCGTCGGCCCAAGTGGGGTTGAGTGCGCCGTGTAACATCCACAACGCGTGTTTGCATGCCGGTGGCCGTATGGAAAACTCGTAGAGTAAGAGTGACATGTGTCGTGCTAGGGTGATTCGCCGTGTACTTTGAGCGGCATATTCTACCGTCACGAATCATCGCAACACTGCATCATGATAGATCTGTTTTTGGGAGCACCTTGCACAATGGCAGAAGGCAGATGAGCCTACCCTTGGCAAGGGAAAAAGATTGATATCCCTAAATGAGAAAGGTCCAGAAGCTTGGGTATACGAATTCATCCTCGAATATGCGCCTGACTTGCTCCAAGACGAATGATTCTACCTTGCCCACGTTCTTGAGAACTTGTTTGCCACTGCCCTGGCCACCGATCTCGCTTTCGACTTTGATGTTTTCTAGTAGCCCTCCAATCTTCGGGCGCTGCACAGGGCGTGGATTTTGGCCTCGTGCATCTGTCTGGAGACCGTTGAAGCCAGTGTCGCTACCGACCAAGGCGTCTGCGTCGTCAGGCGACAAAAAGCAGAAATGGGCCCGCTTCTTGATGTAGGCGAGAATAGCAACACCATCAAATGTGAGTCCGGTAATGTTTAGTTTGAGAGGGATACCGACAAAGCTTGGCATGGGGTAGTCAAGAAGGATTTCCGCAGTCAAGGACATTTTGATATCCCCAGAATATTGCACATGCGTCACGACTTGAATATCATCGGGGCTCTTCTCGTGCATGCGGTTTGGAGATGCAGATGGGGTCCGGACATAGCTATCTTGAGAAAGGCCATCATCCGATCCAGCAAAAGACGGCCTCTTGGGCTCGTCTTGTTGATGTCGTGAAGAAGGCCGGGAGCTAGGGTCTGGATGAGACTGTGGCGTGAGTGTCAGCGAATTGACAGATGCAGCGTGACGAAGGCGCATATTGGTCGGAGTTGCTGGCCGGCCATGGGGATTATCGAGCCAAGTGTGTAACTGTGCACCAGCTACAGCAGCGAGAGGTGTTGCAGCGCCAGACAAGCCTGCGCTCAAAGGGAGATGGAAGTAGTTCATGTTGGAGGTGCCACCGGGGATGCCTGGTGTGAGTGACCCAGGAAAGAAGGGACTGCCTATCTCATTGGGAGCCAACGAACCACGCTTGTTAGACGGCCTAGTACGAGGTTGAGACGGGCGTACGTGGGCATGATCGGGGTGGAGTCGTTGGGGATTTGCCGTCTCACGGCTGCCTCTTTCTTTGCCATGCCTGTCCCTCGATGGGCGGCGTGATGGGTCTCTCGACTCGCGTAGCTTGTCATCAGCGTGTAAGGCATCGTCGTCAGGCTCGGGGTCGGGGTCGCCGGCTTGCTCGTCTGGGTAATCTTCATCATCCTCGTAGAAGTCCGGCAGTGGGTCGCATATGTCCTTGATTTCAATTTCGGGAGCGACGCTGCCAAAATCGAACGAGTGCACGTGAACGGAGCGAATGAAGCGCGGCAGCGTCACTTGCTGAAAGCGGTCATGGATAAAGGCGCGTATCTTCTCTGCACGGGCGGAGCCTTCTGCGCCGCCTGTGATGGTGTCCCAGTTGATATCAATGGACATTGCTGGAGATTGGATGTTGGGATGGGTTGATGACAGAAAGCCACGGCTACTGATACCGGATGGGGACGAGCGCACCCCCCGGGCCGGGCGCACAAACAACGATGCCGAGCAGCGGGCCAGTGAGCAGCCTGCCCACTAGGTCGTCGCTTGCGCAGTTCATCTCTTGACGAAACCTTCAGATGTGATGAGGCCGTCACGTCTGCATCAATACCCTGCCTGCCGTACCGCTTGGTGCATCGCTTGACTCAATCCTCTGCAGCGAGTCCCGCATGTGTTGAAGTCTTTACCAGGATGTGGCCTCAGTGTCTAGTCGAACAAATGCGGGATGCGGAACCACGAACCAGAAGAAGGTGCCATTGCGCTGTCGCATGTGCCGCTACAGACGCGCCCATGTTGCAGATCGTCCATGTGATGCTGCTGGAGAATTAAAGAGCAACAGAAGAGGCAAATAGAGGCCAGGTCGAGAACAGGGTTGCCACTGAGCATCTGCCACAGGATATTAAATTAACATTGACGACGCGGACCAAGAAGGCAAGCAGACAAGCACGTAATCTTGTCAAGCGCTTCCGGGATGCGTCACAATCATGCCCTGGATGCGTGTGATGGCAAGGCTTGTCAGTGTGTATGGTGTGGCTCCGGTTTTGGGTAAACGAACCACGTCGGCAGAAGTCTGCCTGAATGGCTTCTAGAAGAACCGTTACCCGGTCGGCCACGGACAAGCCACTGCGCGCGTCGACGTACGCCTCCAAGAAGGTACTTACATACATCATACATATGTATATCAAGGTGCACGTATACCCGGTCGACTCGGCTATTTGGCGATTAGACGAGGAGACACAGTGTGGCATACTACCTAAGTACATCGCCCGCGGCTTTGCATTCTCATCACACCAGGTCAGAAGCTATTGGCAATACGGGTTCCCCTACTAGCGGTTTGGCCCGACGTGCACATCATGCCATGCTGCATCCTCTTAGGACAATACTGTACCTGAGCTGACAGCAGCCGTCCATGTGCCGCGGCCCGTCCCTTAGCAGGATGATGGCTACTATGTCTCGAGCATCATGCCATATTGCCCTCATCTCCAAGTCGGGTGTTACGGCCGGTGCTAGGTGGCTAGCAGGTGCGGCATGACAGAAAGTTGAGTTTGATCTATTGTATCCTATCACGATCCAAGAATAGACAGTGCCTCGGCCACATTTGCTCGCCTACCGGGGTGCTAGTGCCAGGCCTCTTCACCAGCTACTAAAAACCAATATAGTGAAGGGCGAAGCGCCTGGGTCGTTGTTTCGACTCGCATTAGTGACTTTGAGGCTGGCATAGGCGGTGCCTCAAAGTGTCGTCTGAGAATGGTAGACTAGTAGATTGGCGAAAAACGGCAGTGCATGTGGCTGCTTGGGCGTGATACTGTCTTGTAGATCAGTCGTGATTCATTGGTTGTGGATATGGTCTCGGGATGCGCGCCAGGCGCGCAATACAAAGCATGAGCTCCACAAGTAAATATTATGGCTACCCGATTCAAGAAGGAGACCTCTATACCGGGTGCCTACGTGTTGATTGACTTGCTCGTATACTGGATTTGCCCCCCCTCATGTCAGGATATGTGGGGCACCAGGGACTGCAGACAGCCATGTGGTTATGGCAACGACAAGATAACAAGAAAGAAGCCACATGGCTCAGCGTCGGCCCATCGCACGACCATATTAGAAAAAGCGTGGTATCTATGAAGTAAGAAAAGCTGTGAAAGTAGTACAAGTGAGAAAGTGTTTCGCAACACCAGCCTGTATCCCAAACGCCCGACTTTGTGGGCTCAGAGTCCAAATAAGTCACAATGCCCCCTAAAACGCCAAAACTTTTTTCGAATTCCGTGACGCCGTAAAGTGTAGACTTGATATAGGGGTGGGCACTGAAGCCTCGGGACAGAAGCTGGCCGTGCTCCGCCAAGTCTTGGACGAGGAGGAGCCAGAGCAGCAGCAAGGTGCCGTTTGAGCATAATAGCGCGGCAACGGTAAAGGCCCACAAGGTGCAACTGGCGAGGTATTAGAGGAGGGGGATTGTGCGAACAAGGCGACGGTAACACACTAGAGGCAGGCTTGTCAGACCGGGTGTGACGTGCAGGGGTAAGGGGAGAAGCGGCAGTAAGTACCTGTCAATGGTCACATCTATCACACTTTTCGTCGTGCTTGACCGTCTTTGTATTGCTCACGCCGCAGGGTGATGTCCTCGACGTGGCGCATGGGGCCTTTTCCGCAATCTCGTGGCCGCAGCCGTATTTGTGCACGACCTTGGTACACATGTTGGTGGTGCTATAGGAGCGGGGAAGGCGCGGCCGCACGGCGGGGGGAAGGCGCCTCCTGCAACGGCGTGGGAGGGAAGGCGAGACGGCGGGCGGGCGAGAGCAGGGAAGGTGGGGGTGGGCGCAGAGAAGTGCTGATTGGCCGGGGTGGTGGAGAGGTGTTGCTTGGTGCAGACGGCTGCTGTGGCAGCTTGAGACGGAGACGGCAATGCGGAGCGCAGCTCGACGGGACGGAGCTGGCACGGGCAACGAGCAAAGAAGAGGAAGAAGAAGAGCAGCAGCAGCAACAGTAGCAACAGCAGCAGCAGCAGCAGCAGGACCACGGGCGGCCAAGACGGCGTGTGGGCGAGAACAGGCGGCGGGGCAAGGTGTTGGCGAGTGACAGCAGCAGTAGCAGCAGCAGCAGCAACAGCAGCAGCCCGGCAGGAGGGAGTGGTGGCAGCTAGGGTGGTGGGTGAGGGTGCTGGAGAGGGTGCTTGCTGGAGAGGAATTGGTCGGAGCGTCTTGGGGGGGCACAGGGCGGGCAGCGCAGAGCGATTTATAAGACAGCCATTGCAGCGAGCCAGCGTGACGGTAACGGTCGAGAGATTGTTAGATTGCCTTCGCTCCCGTTTGCAACGAGGCGCGACAGTCTTGTACAGCCGTTGGCTCCGTGCGGAAAGGCCAGGACATACATACGCGGAGCTGCTAGCCTTGACGCCTGGGTCGCATAGTTGCAGCTGCAGCCAGCAGCGCATCGGCCAGGGTGATCCCGCCTCCTGCCCAGCGCCAGCGCTGTGACCACCAGCCCTCCACCAGCCCACCAGCCCACCAGCCCGCTCTCTGCCCAATCGCGCCCTGCTGCACCGCCGGACGCACGGCTGCGGCGTGAACCTCCAATCACGCCCCACATGCTTTCTCCTCACCACACGCTGCCCATCCTGCCCATCCTGCCCATCCGCCCCGCCATCACGCCGTCCGCTCTCCCCAAGCATGCGCCGCCCACCGCCCACCGCCCACCACCACCTCTGCTGCTTGCAGAGAGCCCGTCCGACCGCTGCTGTCACGCTCTGCCCTTGCGTGACCGGCCACAGGGCTGACAAGCTGCCAATATCATACACACACTTGCTGCACCGGCCCGTCCCCCCAAAGCAGCACACACAGCCTTCTGCTGCTGCTGCTGCTGCTGCTGCAACACCATGTCCGCCTTCTATCCGCCGTCTGCTGCCCGTCCACGCTCCCGAGTAAGAGTCTGGCGGTGCCGGCTGACTCAAATGCAAAGGGCTCGACTCACGCCATAGCTTCTTCACCTCTCGCGCCTGGACCACCCTCCTGAGCAATGAATGCTACCCTGGCTCGGCTCGCGGATGCACACCATTGGCACATGGCACCCTGGTCGCTCTCGACGACTCGTAGCCTGCTGCGGAGGAGGAGCAAGGAGAAAAAGAAGCAGACGAAGAAGAAGACGGCAAGCGCAGCCACGCCTGCCGTGCGCTGACCACAACTCCACCATGGCGGCCGGGCACGGGTGCTACCTTGACTACTACTTACTTACTACTACTACTACTACCACTACTACAACCACAAGGGCAGCCCCTTGCATATTGCATACCCGCCTCAGGGCCAGCGGCATTGCAGCGTCTGCGAGGTTAAAAGTAAAAGTGTCGTGACGGCATGTGCCAGTCCCGCAACGACGTCGTCTGGGAATTGGCAGGCCCAGATTTGGAAATTGCAAACTTTGGCGCATGCATGACTGTCGCCATGCATGATTCGCGACGCCATGGAAACATTTCATGCTGCTCACATCCGTCAACATCCATAGTTTATAGCTAAATGAATGGAGCGGCACAATTACAAACAATCAGCAAATCATGCCCCCACCACGCTGCCCTCAGCTCACAATGTCAGCGTCGCTTGAAACGCCAAAAGTGAAGACGGACGGGCGGGCGGCCAATGGCCCGTTTACTCATCAAAATATGTGACTTTGCCGGCCGGCCTTCCTCCACATCACGACGGGTACCGCAAGGAAAAAAGCAATAGTGGCATACGAGTGCAATGCGGTCATATGTGCTGCCTCCAGGACGCGGTGCATGGCGCTGTGCAGCAGGATCGCGATACAAGCACTGGCGGGCGGATGCTGTGTAGCCTGTCAGATTTTCTTGTTCCATGTCTCTTCAACGGCCGCAGGGGTAGCTGGGGGACACGTTGCCCAAAGCGCTCTAGCCTTTCGGCCCGCTCTTACCTGATCGACCTGTGCGACCAGGAACTCCACATTGCAGACGCGCCGCCGCTCATCCAACAGCAACACGGCCTGGTTTGTTTTGGCTGGTGCAGCATCTGTGCATGTGCTTAGCCCATCGCATCTCCTGCTCCTGCTCCTGCTCTGCTCCTGCAAAAGCAAATGCCTCTCGTATACCTGCAACACGACTTTTTTTTTCTGCGCTCCCATGCTCCACAAGCCGTCGTCAGCTCGAACCAGGTTCGCTTTCGGAACTTCCCTCTCGCTTCTTGCTGCGGCCGGCACTGCATGTGGCTTGTCCCCATGGCCCCCCGACGCGCATCACAGCAGCCTCATCTGACCAACGACGTGGTCCGGCGTTTTCTCGGCAATCTGACATTGCTCACTCTACTTAACTACATGAGCAGATCGCTGCAGTCCGCAGTGTGGGGTGCTGAACACGTCCACACACTCGACAGACACTGCGCCCTTTCGATTATGCAGTCGCCCAAACTATATGCATTGACAACTGCAACTGATGAGCCTGGTGGCGATCTCCACGACGCCATATCTCGGCTGCGTTTACCACGCGCGGTGCGCTACATCAGACTGCGCTACACTACACTACCGTAGTATCTATTAGTGCGCTTGCCATAGCGCTACTTTTCCCCAAATCCTCCTCCTTGCACTATCAAAATCTCTTCACTCTACCTCTCGCATCAGCTACAACCCCCCTCCGTAGAAGCCATGCACCCAACATCTCGCCAACCATGGCACATATACCGTGCATGTTGTTGGGAGTTGCTTCTGGTCCATTTACTGCAACAGGATCTGCGTCCGAGATGCGTCGTGCTAACCGGGCCAGGCGCCTCTACATAGTACGTTGGCACATGGACAAGCATGGCCTGAGTGCAGTCCATTGACGAGTGCGACTAGCATTCATATGTACTCCACAGGGTGCGCACAACGGTACTTGCCGGACCCAACCCGTCCCGCCTAAAAATTCATCCGGCACCTATCTCTCCCTCACCTGTTCATATGCTGTAAATATTCTGCGCATGTGTCAGTCAGAAGCCACAGACGAAGCTGCGTCTTAACTCGCCCATAGCAGGCCATGAATTGTGCAAGTCCAACCTCAGAGCCAAGTATTTTTCCAGATATCCACGCTATCACGAGCCGACCAATCCCGACGCCCATCATGTCTCAACATATATCAATCACCTCTGCCCGGCCTGCTTTGCATCAAATCCTAATTATACGCGACCCACACAGCAATAGGAAAGATCCATGGCAACCTGAAAATAGCCACACCAGAATCCACTGCTAGCATTGTGCTCTTTTGCCATTGCTGGCCTGACAGGGACATGCTCCTGACAGCAGCTTCTTGCGGAACATGCGGAGATTTGAGAGGGAAATGCAAGGTACAAAAGTCCACGTACCGTGTCAGTCGATCAGTCGGTGCATGATTGGGCGCCGATGCGAGTATGCGGCATATGTAGGATCTGCAGCACCTCCGTCATTGGTGGTAGATTAGCCGTACACCCGCGGTCTTTCGAACTGCTACAGGGTGCGTTGACACCATCTACCTATTGCAGATCACCATAGTGTCCATATGCGCATATCGGCAGATGTTGCTGCGTAAAGCGCTCGCGACTCTTTGCAGTACCCTAGTCGCTTTTTGACTTGTAAAGCGGACCGTCAATATTTCGGAAACCGTTTGGCCCAGCGACAGAAAAGGTCAAGTCTGCCTACTAGCCTGCCGCCTGCATGAAGCTGTCCTCCCACTCCCGAAGCTTTGCGGTGTGGAGTCACATCCGGAATCTCAAGCTGGTCTCCGGGACACGACGCGCTACAGCTGTGGCGGCTTGCTTAGTCCCAGCCCGGTATGGTGTTGGATATGGGTTCGCGTACTGCTTGCACTTGCATCCGACAGGAGAAACGGCTATCGTGGTATCAGCTATCTATGTTAGAACCCCGAAGCTTGCAAGATGCTCATGCCAGTGGAGTTTGGCAAGGCCTTGCGTCCCGGCCAAGCCGCAGCCATTCATGTTGCATGCATCACTCGTCTTTTGTCCGATTCTTCCATCATATTTACCCTACCACAACGTTTGCATGAAGTACACATTGTGTAATTGTCTAGTCGCTCCCCATATTTTTCTTTGCTCTGTTTATCGCCTGTCATGGCCAGCAAATCTGGTGCGGGGCGCACGCACGTGGGATTCTTTTTTTGATATCGTCATTTGACGTCACCGGTAAACCAACATCGAGGCACATTTCTCTCATTTTTTGGCGTGCAAAGCCTCGTACTTTGGAACGACTCGAACAGGAGAAAGGCCCGATAGGCGTCAGAGATTTCCGATTCCTCATCATGGAAATCTGGAATTGACTATGATGGCGCTGGGGCGCGGGGCGCATGGCAAAGTTGAGCCTCGCGTGGTACATCGGCGTCGCTCGGCAGTCGATTGAATCGATCAAATCGAGATGATCGAACATCATCTTTGCTGCCATTGGCTACTTACGTCGAATCCACTTTCCACCGCTTCATCGAAGTGCAGTCCATGACCTGTCGAAGTACGTGTCAGAGTCGTTTAGGCAACTCAATGCCGGACGACCATCGCCTCACGTCGCCATGACGTCAAGATGTAAACAGGTGGTCGCGACGCGACGCCCTCGGAGGAGTACAAAGGGAACGCTCCCCGCGAGCCTCAAAGCTTGTCATCTCGACAATAGACATTGCCAGCCGACTCAACTTTGAGAGATCGAAAAAATGGCATCTGAAATACTAGGCAACGTTACGGAGAAGGCCAAGGACCTCGCTGGATCCAAGTCGACCAAGATGGCTCAGCTTGCTGAAGTCACCAAGGATGTCCACGACGACAAGTGGAGAATTACCAGCGACTACGGAGTGAAGCAGAACAACACCGACGACTGGCTGAGGGTTGCCACGGACGACCAGACTGGCCCTCTGTTGCTCGAGGACCAATTCGCCCGTGAGAAGGTATGATTGACCACCGAACAGCCGACTTATTCGCCACATCGCTAACGGCGTTAGATTCACCGATTCGACCACGAAAGAATTCCCGAGCGTGTTGTTCACGCTCGTGGCTCCGGTGCCTTTGGAAAATTCACTCTTTTTGAGTCGGCCTCGGATGTCACATCGGCTGGAATCCTCACTGATACTTCGCGCGAAACTCCAGTCTTCCTACGGTTCTCGACTGTGCTCGGTAGCCGTGGTTCTGCAGACACTGTCCGCGATGTACGCGGCTTTGCTGTCAAGTTCTACACGGAAGAGGGCAACTGGGATATCGTCGGTAACAACATCCCTGTGTTTTTCATTCAAGACTCGATGAAGTTTCCCGATGTGATCCACGCTGGCAAGCCGGAACCGGACTGCGAGGTGCCGCAAGCGCAATCTGCTCACAACAACTTCTGGGACTTCCAGTACATGCACCCCGAAGCCACGCACATGTTCATGTGGGCCATGTCTGATCGCACGATTCCTCGCTCGTACCGAATGATGCAGGGTTTCGGTGTCAACACATACACTCTTATCAATGCTAAGGGCGAGAGGCATTTTGTCAAGTTCCACTTCACACCTGAACTCGGTGTCCACAGCTTCGTCTGGGATGAGGCACTGAAGATTGCTGGTCAGGACCCAGACTTCCACCGCAAGGACTTGTGGATGGCCATCGACAGCGGTGCGTACCCCAAGTGGAAGTTTGGCATTCAAGTCATTCCCGAAGCAAAGGAGCACGACTTCGAATTCGACATTCTTGATGCTACCAAGGTGTGGCCTGAAGAGCTTGTGCCCGTCCGATACATTGGCGAGCTTGAGCTCAACAAGAACCCTGACGAGTTCTTCACACAGACTGAGCAAGTCGCCTTCTGCACAAGCCATATTGTTCCCGGCATCGGCTTCAGCAACGACCCTCTTCTACAGGGCCGCAACTTCTCTTACCAAGACACCCAACTCTCTCGTCTGGGCATCAACTGGGAAGAGCTACCAATCAACAAGCCCGTCTGCCCCGTCATGAACTTCAACCGTGACGGAGCCATGCGACACACAATCACAAAGGGTAAGGTCAACTATTGGCCTAACCGCTTCCAGACTGTGCCACCTGCGACGGAGAAGGAGGGTGCATACGTAGAGTTCCCCGAGAAGACTGCCGGCATCAAGGTACGCATGCAGAGCAAGAAGTTCCGGGAGCACAAGAGCCAGGCCGAGCTCTTCTACAACTCCATGTCGGAGAACGAGAAGATGCACATGAAGGCTGCTTTTGCCTTTGAGCTTGACCACTGCGACGATCCCGTTGTGTACGAGCGCCTCTGTGAGCGTCTGTGCGAGATTGATCTCGAGCTCGCTCAGAGTGTTGCCGAGATGGTTGGCGGCGAGCAACCGACTAAGCAGACTCGGCCCAAGCACAACAAGAAGGCCAAGGGTTTGTCGCAAATGGACTTCCAGCCCGAGAAGCCTACCATTGCGACTCGCATGGTGGCAATTCTTATTGCCGACGGCTACGACAAGGCTGCCTACACTGGTATGAAGGCTGCTTTGACCGCAGCTGGCGCTCTTCCTTTTACCATTTCGCCTAGAAGGAACAAGATCTTTGCTGATGGAGAGGACAAGAGCGGCTCTGGAGTAGTGGCAGACCATCACCTTGAGGGCCAACGCTCCACCATGTACGACAGTGTGTTTGTTCCTGGTGGCGCCAAGTCGATTGAGACGCTTAGCAAGAACGGGCGTGCGGTACACTGGGTGCGTGAGGCATTTGGTCACCTCAAGGCCATTGGTGGTACTGGCGAAGCGGTTTCCTTCATCAAGCAGGCTGTGGATCTACCCGGCATGGAATTCTCAACGTCTGGTGATGTGGTCAACAGCTACGGAGTGGTTACGGCTACGGCAGTGCAGCCTGAGAGCTTCAAGGAGGCGGTCAACATGGCGAAGGAGGCCAAGGACTTTGTTAGCGCGTACATGTATGCGATTTCGCAGCACAAGAACTTTGAGCGCGAGACTGCGGGACTGAACGCCATGGTTGCGTACTAACGGCAGGGAGATGATTTGGAACTGCCTGTCCTAATGATTTAGCTGATTAATGTTAATGATACCAATTATGCAAAGCGTTGATACTCTACTCTTGCTGTTGCTATGTTTTTATTGGTGGAGGAAAGGCATTAGTTGTGATGCATAGTAGTGCTCTTCTGCAGGGTCTCAGGATATCACTTTGCTCAGTCACGCTAAGTGGTTGTCTCTTGACGTTGAAACTACGTTTGTGTGTATGTAGAGTGCACATGACGAAATATTAGTATAGGCATAGAGCGGGCCGACTCGACGCGTTACAAACTACTGTGTCAGGGCCCTGTCAGGTCTCGAGGATATTGAACATGTAGGCTTGGTGCGGGGTAGAAGGAAACTTGAAACTTACGCAGCTCGTCAGCGTCACTTCTCTCTCGTGAGGCGGAGGCTGCGCTGCTGAGCCACAGAGCCACAAGCCCCACGCTCCATTGGCGGCACTGCCCGCGCTAGCCTCTTTTGTGCGGGCTGCGCCCTTGTGCTGAGCAAAGGGCGATACAGCGGTTTAGCGCTCGTCTCGACCCACCCACTGCTTTCTTTGCATTCACCCGAAGCCATTTGATTGTGCATTAACATCCGCCTCCCCTCTCTCCCCGCAGACTAGTGTACAACCAGATGGAATGTGCGGGATGCGGGAGATGCATATCTAATACCTAGCTCGTACGTCACTCAATACATTCCGCATCCATTGTTGCGTCGCGAACCACTCTCTTGGCACAACCGTAATTTACAAGCGGCTGGCGGCAATTCCACGCTATTCTTCTCACCGGTGGCCTGAACCTCGGACGGTGATCAACACTCAGCCCTTCAGCGCCGGCAAGGGCTGCATGGATGACTCTAAACGCGAAACGCTATCAGTTTGTAGGCGCAGCGCCCTTTGATCTAAAATACCAAACACCACGCCTAAGGCTTCTGAATACCCTTTCTTCCGCCATTTTCTGCTCACACCCTTGGAGCCCGTGATCATCAAACGTCGACCAAGACGCAATAAAGGCGCCTTTTCTACCGACGCCGCCCTCTTGACACAGACCATCTAGGAAACATCATCAACGACATGGATCATCAGGGCGCAGGATTCGCCTTTGATTCCAACATGGATTTCAGCAACATGTTCGCGGCCGCGCCCGAGACATTGTTCAAGCCAGCGGATAACACTTCTGGCTTCTTCTTCTTCGCTGACGAGGGCATCGACACCACTGCCTCATCCTTTATGGATCCCATCACACTAGGCACCCCCCAACAGGGCCCCTTCGACATGAACATCCCATCTGCTGCGAGTTACTACCCACAAACTCCAGCATCACAGTTTCTTGGCTCCGTCCCCACACAGCTTAATACTTACGGAAAGCGCCCACTACAGCTCGAAGCCGACGACTTCCCCCAGTCCAAGCGTCAAGCAAGTTATGACTTTCCTCTATTCCCAACACCACCCGCCACAAACACCACCTCCAGCTGGGGCCTGGAGGCCACTCCTTCAACTACCACAGTAGAAGGTCTGTCGGATGAAGCGGCGGATGTTTGCGCAACATGGTTTACCAAGTTCAACGTGCTCCCTGGGTATGCACCCCCAAGTCTTAGGCATCCTCACCTTGATTTGCTAACAGCCCTTGAGTGACCGACACATCGATTCATTAAGCCAACTCACTGGTGAGTCGGCAGATGCGATCCGGAGCTGGTTTGGCCAGCTTTTGAAGCAGGGCATGGGCAAGGGAGGCCCAAGTGACTCCGCTTACAAGTCTCAAACCGCACACATCCAGCAGCAAGACTCGTCCTGGGATGATCACACCTACCAGACAGACCTTCTGCAGGCCTCGCCATCACAACCACTACTACTGGAGCACATGACTACCCCGGAAATCTCATACAGCCAGGACAACGTTGTCTCAACTACCGTCCAGCCAGCCACCGCTACCAGAAGCTGCAAGAAGCGCTGCACACCTACCGATGACCTAGAGTTACTTGGTCGAGACCCCAGGAAAATCTATCAGTGCACTCGGAAGTGTGGCAAGCGGTATGGCCGAAAGAACGACTGGAAGAGAAAGGAGGAGGAGGGCTACCCATGCAAGTCGTGGGTGTGCAGCCTATGCATCAGTGAAGGCGTGGAGAACGTCAAGCCATGCTACAGGAAGTACCATTTCGTGCAACACTTCCGAAACATCCACGTCCATGTTGACCCTGATCAATATGAAGAGGCGAGCGTAGTATACTCGGAGACGGAATTCCCACGAAAGTGCGGATTCTGTCGCCACCGATTCTCGTCGAGACAGGAGCGAATTGATCATATTGCAGACCACTTCAAGCAGGGCAAGTGCATGCTCGACTGGCGCGATGACGATGACAACAATGGCGGCGATGATTCCACCGACGATGACAACGACGACCGACCAAGTGGAGACGGCTTCGATGGTAGCCCTTCCTTCCAACCACCACCCTTCCATCCACATGGCAACAACTCCAAGCCTTCCGGCGATCAGGGTAGCAGTGGTGGCTCTTCAGGGCAACCACCTCAGGGTGGTTTCTTCCACTTCCAGCTCTCACAGCTTGGTGAGAGCCAGCGGTATTGTGCGGTCAAACCTACCAGACTCACTACACTTTCGCCGAACATCTCTCCGTCATCAATCTCAATTGATGTCGATGGCACGGCACTACAAGACGAGGCGTTCAAGTCACAACATCCACTCGACAGGCACATTCCGACAAAGGGAGACCACGAAGCTGCTCTGGCCGGAGATGCTTTCGCCCAGCCCATAATTAGGGAAGGTGGGTCGTCGCAGGATGAACGAACTGACAAGCGTGGCTTGGAGCATACGTTTGGAATCAATGCCACCGCTAGTACCGAGATTGAAACGCTGATTTCGACTCTCGCACCTTCTTGGAGCCAATTAGGAGCTTCACTAGAGGCATTGGCAACGAGCGAGGAAACTCCATCTTCTGAGTCATTGACAGACCTAACAGTAACAGCACCTTCTCAATACAGCGATGCAACAGACCAACTATGTAGCCGACAGTCTACTCCGCAAATGCCCAAGTCCTCACGGGCCTTCCACAGTATCAAGCTCCTTGGTGCTGGAGGCTTTAGCACAGTCGACGAAGTGAAGCATCAACAAACGGGCCTACGTATCGGAAGGAAGACACTCAAGAATCGCAACCAGACGGCACTTGAGGAACTCAAGAAAGAAGTTAATGTCCTTCAAAAGCTACGTCACCCGCATATTATTCGCTTCCTTGGAGCCTACTCAAAGGGTGACAAGATGTCGATACTGCTTTCGCCTGTTGCAGAAACAACACTGGCAGTCTGGCTTGATCGGTCAGCATCACAACGACCTGCCAACCTGTTCGAGACCGTTATGAAGATGTTTGGTTGTCTCTCTTCCTCTGTCAGGTACCTCCATGAGCAGCGACCTGTTGTTAAGCACATGGACATCAAGCCCCAGAACATCCTTATTGTCGATGGCGATCAAGAGTTCCCGCACGTCATCCTTTCCGACTTTGGTGTCAGTTGTGCAGAAGAAGAATCCGACGATCAATCGCGACCCTGGACACGCCAATACATCGCACCTGAGGTCGTCGAAGGCTTCACTCGCAAGCAGGCTGCCGACATCTGGAGTCTGGGATGTGTCTTTGCAGAGATGGCATCTGTTCCATTGAGTCAACACAATCCGGAATGGTCAGCCTTTAGCAAGGAATACAATGGTCGCACAGGAACGTACTACTGGCAAGACGTACCAGACGTACAGAAGAAGCTCGCCATGTTCTTTGACTCAGCAAGGGGTCCAGCTGAACTGCTCCTTGTACGCGCACTCCAAGCTATGTTGAGAGCCCAGCCTGATGAGCGGCCGGATGCGGCATCGCTCACAATGATCTTTGCTCCTGCACCGTGCTGTCTCAACTGGCCGAACGACAAGATGACGTTCCCCGGCCCGCATGAGGAACTGCTAGAGGTAGAGAGATTTGGGAAACACCACTGCATTGATGGTAATACCCAGCCTCATCTGCATGACAAGGATGGGAACGACTGTTCTGACAATGTCCCCATTGCAAAGACCTGGCTGGATGATTGTTTGTGCACCCACGGTGCCTGTCACCACTTGTCTTCGGGCTACTCCACCGATCTCCCTAGACGCCTGATTGATATCCTTCCGGAAGACAAGGCTAGCAACTACGTTCGCGTCGTTGAAAGCAAGTCTCACGAGGAACAGATGCAACATGTTCAATATGTTGCACTCAGTCACGTTTGGAGCGACACCGAGCCTCTACTTTCAAGCAATTCACAATCGAAGATGCAATCTGAACTCGCACTGGAAACACTGCCTAGTGCAGTAAGAAATGCGATTTCAGAGGTGCAACGTCTCGGCTTCCGATACTGCTGGCTGGATTCACTCTGCGTGCTCCAGGATTCAGATCAAGAAAAGGCACAAGAGTGCACAAATATGTCTTCAATCTTCCGCAATGCGGTCCTCACTGTCGTCCTTGACCAGCTGGCAAACCCGAGCACAAGCAAAGATGTTAAAAATGCAACCGAAGATACACAGTTTACCTCGACAATTTCTCCCATCAAGAATAGGAACACAATCGCGACTCGCCTCCCGGCCTCCGCCCTGCTGCCCCCTTCTATCCTCACAGCCCCCAACCTGGGCTGGGATACTCGGGCCTGGGCGCTCCAAGACCGTCTCCTGAGTCGCCGCTTCTTGCACTTGGGCGAACAATCATACTGGGAATGTAACACCCTCAAAGCCTCCGAGACCTTCCCTCGCGGTCTACCCGCGCTCCTTTGGGAAAAGGTCCACACACAATGTAGCAATGATGCCGAGGAAATGCGTGCACAAGCAAGCAATACATTTCCTAGTGCAAAGATCTTCGCCATGGAATTCGACGATGCACACAATGCAAGCACGATTCCCCATCAGAAGCCCGCCGAGCCGCGTCCGCCACTGCCACCACTGCCGAGTGCCAGTCGTTTACGCGACTGTCAGTGGATTAAGAAACAAGGCGATGATGCGGCTCGGGATGCGAATGCGGTGCTAGCGACGCTGGGTGGGCGTGCTAGTTGTGCGGAGATACCGCAGTTTGATGATGGTGTATGTGTGTGTTGTAGTGATGGATGTAGTAGTAGCATGGGTATATGTAGGAGGAGTAGGAGTATGAATGGGAATGCCAATGTGGTGGAAGTAAGTGCGAATGCAAATGCTAGGACATGGGATGAAGGCAGTGGAGAGGTATTTGGCGATGCTGTCCACGCGACTGGACTGTCGTAGTCTGAGGGGTTTTTCATTTCATCACGCAGTTTCACGGCCAAGTTTCTAGTTTCTAGTCTCGGTATTAAACCGAATCGCTTCTTTCATAGTTTCCTTTTGTATTCAATATACCAAGTTTTTTCTCCTTCAATCCCATCATGGCTTTTTTTTCCCTACGATTCCTTGAAACGCCAAAGTGAACTATGCTTTAACCTCACACTACGTTAAAAGAACTTTCCTTTCATCACGCCTCGGGCCTAACCTTCCCCCTCCTCTCCCTCATACCCGCGACCCTCTTCCGATCCTCCTCAAACCGTCTCTTCAACTCGCCCTCCGCCTTCTTCCTCCTCTCACGATTCTGGAACCGGTAAAAGTCATCCGTAGCCCGATGATTCCTCTTGCGCTCATCCAGCTCCGCCTTCTTCTTCTCCGCCTCCTCTAAGCGCGCAGGTCCCACACGTCCGCCACGGACAACAGCCACGAAGCCATCTTCATCCGGTACCGAGCGGGCCGTCTTGCGAAGTCGATTGCGCATTGTTTCCATGGCGTTGAATTGGGATAGATATGCATTAAGGCTAGCTTGAAGCGAGGAAGGCGGTGGGTACATGAGATTATTATGCGCCTTGTAACCTATCGTATTATCGTTAGCTCTCCTTATAACTAACTTCATAAATAACGAAAAGAAATATAGTGGGAAGAAAAAACTTACGGTCAACCCCCACCCCCTCCTCCCCCC